GGTTACCCGCTGGGTGAGCGTGCTCTCTCAGAGGGGGGGAATGAGGCACAGGAGCCTCATCCTCTATCAGGGGTCCTTTCTGGGTGCTGGCTGGGTTGTCGGGTTCGCTGGGTCGTGGCGCCCGGGCGGGTGCGCCCCCCGGTGCGTGCTGCGGCCCGGCGTGGCCGCTGCCTTGATCGGTGTCCCAGTGGGAAACCCCAACGCGAGGGACTGGCCGCGTCGCTGTCCCGTAAGTCCGGGATGTAGTCCCGGCTGGGGGAGCGGCAAAGCTAGTATCAAAGAGGGGCGGGTTGGTTGCGTGTGGGTGCGGTTACGATCGCGCCTTCAGGCAACCTCTCCCGTAACACCCGTGGGAAAAGGCACTGGAGTCACACTTCTCAGTGATTCATTCGGAGAACGGGATATCCGGGTGCACGGTGGCCGGTGATAGTCGGCAACGGGGGGCTCGCCGGTGATCCGCTATGGCAACGCTGGGGGTCCACGCCCCCTGATCCGTTAGGCTAAGGCCGCTGTGCACTTAGGCCCCGCTGCGATGAAGGTTCCACCAAGGGGTGTTACCTGAGCTATCGATGAAGCGTACCGCTGGGGGCGCCGGTGCCTAGAACCACGGGTGGGAGAAGTGCGCAAAAGGCGTGCACTTCTTTTACCCCTCGATGCCGCCACCTTACCGTGGTGGAGGGGTACCGGCGATCCGGTGAAGGCTCGGCGGCAGTACCTTTCGGCTTCGGCCGAAAGGGTGGCCCCTACCTGAGGATCGCTGGCAAACGGCGGCAACGGGGAAGGAAAACCTCCACAGAAAACGGGACCGTGGTGGGCTGCAGCCCCGCGGTTGCTAGAGAGGGACGTAAATCCCTCCACTGCAAAGGAGCCCGGCGACTCCCACAGGGCCGATGGGCCCAATCGCTGGTAGGGGTAGGCGGCCCTGACTCCAATCGCTCGGCCGGCTGGGGCCGTTAGGTGGAGCTTGCTCCACCACCAGCCACTGGGGAGGGGCTTCGGGGTTGGGGGGGCCTCCGCTCCGGGACGGGTGGAATTGCCACTCCTCCCGGGGGAGGAGAAAAACCCGACTCTCAAGGCAATCTGCCGAGAGAGCGGGTTGCCCTCAATCCGCTCAGCGTAGGAGACGTCCTGCGTTCGAGCGGGGAGAGGTACCCACACCCGCGCCTGCACACCGGAGGCGTCGCCTCACGGTTCGCGGGGGGTGGAGGGGTGTCCGGGCCGCTCGAACGTATTTCGAGGTCAGGGCCGGCACCCTGGGATTGGCGCCAGCATTATGCCGGCGACTTCTCCCGTGTGGGCAGCTGCGCACGGGAGTAATAGGGGAAAGGTGAACGGGCCCGGTTCGTCCAATAGGGCGGCCGGTGCCGGGGAGCTAACCCCTACAGCGGAGGCGGCCGGGTCCCAAATGCCAGTACGGCAACCGGTCTTCTCTCTCGAGTGGCCGCTGCGCCGAGAGAGTACCAGGGGTCGGCGCGGCCGATTAGCCCATTGGGCGGTCGGTCGGGTCGGCCCTTACAGCGGAGAGCCCGGGGGGCGGCGATTGCGACATGGTAAAGTCGCGGCCCCGGGCGGAGTCATCAGCTGGCGCCCACGGCGGTACGCGGCATGGGACCTCAAGATGAGGACTCCTCATCCTCTTCTGTCGAAAGTAGGAGGAAGGTATCCCGGCCGATCCCGACCTCCTCAAGTGAGGAGGAAATGATAGTGGAGGGAGATGCCGGGTCCATTAGGGCCCTACTTCCGACCTCCGAGGAGGCGGAGGTCGGGAAACGATGCCGGGAAGAGGTGGCGCGAGACATAGCGGGGGGGACAATCCCCGCGTGTAACGCCCCCTTCTTGAAGGCGCGAGGTGGAGGAGGAAACTTGGCCTCCAGCGGCCAAAAGAGGAATGCCGCAGAGGTGACAACGGCCGGCGGGGGGACGCCCCAGAAAACACCGCCGAAGGATGAGCGGAGGGCCCGCCAGGATAATGGGCGGGCCCCCGGGAAATCTGGCGGGGAACTAGAGGCCTTGGTGATGGCCCTAGTTCCCCACATAGTTGAGGCCCTGCGGGCAGAACTCCCCGAGTTATCCGGGGGACGAGCCGCAGGGACCCAGAAGGCCCACCAAATAGGGAGGAGAGGGGCGACTATGGGGGCTGGGGCGCATAATGCCTCCCCGACCCTCCCGAACCAGCCCCGTGCCCCGGCAATTTCCGCCCCCAACGACGAGGGGGGGAAAAAGCCGGGGAAAAAGAAGAAGAAAAAAAGAAAAAGAAGAAAAGCAGCGACGACGAACGACGGCCTCAAGAGGATACGGCCACGCCCCACTGCTCTTGTGGAGGAAAGGGGCCCCCACCTCAGAAAAGGACCGCGACCTTGAGGCCCTCAGGGGCCCGCGACAGCTCCTCTCCCTCCGCGACTGGGTCCGAATCCTGGGCCCAGGTTGCGGGGAGAAGAGGAAAACAGGGAGGAAGGAGGTCTACGAAGACCGCCCAACCCGCCTCCCAGAAACCGCGGCCCAAACAAGGTGCCGCGGCAAAGGGTGACGGGGCAAGGAAGAAGATCCCCAACGCCGCGGGGGACGGGAAGAAGAAACCCGTCCTCCCCAAGGCTCCTCGCGCCGCCGCGATCACGGTGAGCTGCCCCGCTGGCAGCTACGCCGATGTGATGCGGCGGGCGAGGGGCCAAATCGACCTAGGAGAGCTGGGGATCGGGGACCTCAGGACCAGGAGGGCGGTCACCGGCGCCCTGGTCCTTGAGATCCCCGGTCCCGAGGGACATGCCAGGGCGAACACCCTGGCTAACAAAATGGCGGCCCTCTTCGCCGACAAGGAGGACGTTCGTATAGCTCGTCCTACGAAGAGGGCCGACATCCGGGTCCGCGACCTGGACGATACGGCCACCGTGGAGGACGTCATCTCCGCGGTGGCGGTCGTCGGGGGCTGCGGGCCCGGTTATTTGAAGGCCGGGAAGATCCGCCCTGGACCCGACCGCATGGGGACCCTCTGGCTGAGGTGTCCCCTTGCGGTCGCTAAAAAAAGTCACGGACGGGGGACGCATCCGCGTTGGGTGGTCCAACGTCCGCGTGGAGGCCCTGAGTAGCCGCCCCCTCCAATGCTACAGATGCTTGGAGTGGGGCCACGTCAGGGCCTCCTGTAAGAGCAAGGTCGACCGCAGTGGCCTCTGCTACCATTGCGGTTCGGCCGGCCACAGGGCCGCGGCATGCGACGCACCGGCGACTTGCCCGGTGTGCCGCGACACAGGGCGGCCCTGTGGTCATAGGGTAGGAGGCCCCGCTTGCTAAATGGAGAAGCGGGGCAAAGGGGGCCGGAGTGGGAGAAGGAGACATAAAACCTCCAATACCCCTCCCACTCCGCCCCCTGAGAAAGGACAGGAGCCTCCCCCCCCCCC